TTGATTGCACTGATCCCGAATTCCGTATTCAGAACGCAACATATGTGACCCTCTCCTTGGTTTCGAGGGTTTGAATACCCTCGGGTCAGGTCTTAGTTTGACCACCCTTTACTATTTTCCACCCATCACCTGCCTTAGCAAACCACGCGCGCCGTGACAACCAATTTGGTGAAACGCGCAACACTTGCCCCACCCAACGTAGTTTATGGAGGCCGACCACTCGCCCCAGTGGGCGACCATAGTTACCTCAAACTTTGACCTTAGCCTCAGCGCTTCTTGTCCCATCATATTCGTGCAATTCGGTGTAGACAGCGATGTTCGACCAGCGACGGTCTATCNTCTGTGCCGTATAGCAGAACTGGTGGAGCTGGTGTAGCATCGTTCAAGGCGGTATTCGTGAATATGAATCAGTGTAGCGTCAGGCTCCTTCATTACCTCACGCCTACTTTCCTTAGGTCCGTACTCTTAATTAGACGGAAAAGATTGCAACTGCGACCAGTAGCCGCAGCATTTTCATCCCTTTACATTTTGCTACCCACCACTTCTCGCGGTCATTCTTGTGGCTATTAGTGAGCTGATTCCTAAGGGATTTGCGCGTTGTCATATTCGGCATCAGGAGAATTGTTTTTTCAGATGTCCACTAAAGCAGCGGAGGCCGAAGAGATCCATCGTTCACCAGAATCCGCCGTTGTTTTGATCGGCATTTGGATAACTCCCTTGAATAACGTTGTGTTCATTAATTCCTTCTGCGGTTGGTTGAACTGAGAGGCGACAAGAGAGTTTCGCTTCGAAGGCCGATTAACAACTATTGCTTACACTATATTGTGGGTATCCATTACCGGTGGCCTTGTTGCGGTTGTTGACCCGGCGTAGGGAGAATTTCGTTCGTAACAAAGCATGGTCCGTATCCACTAATGTGAACCAGTTAAGCAAGGCTTCTTCGCGTAAGGCGATATCGTCTGTTGTGGAAGAAGTTGGTGCTTGATAGGAACAAGCCGTGGTCAACACACAGTTGAAGTAGGCGATCTCCGCTGTCCATTTTGTTGACTTGGATTGCGTATGCGCCGTCAATAAATCTTTCTGATTCGTTTATAAATCCCACTTGAGCAATAAAGTCTCCAGCGACTACTACGGTGCTCAGTGACCGAGCACTTTGAAGCAATTGAGGGAGATCCTTGTGGAATGCGTTCTTTAGTTCTGGTTAACTGCAATCAATCGATGCATTCACGGACACGACGAGTAAGCACCGATGCTTCGTTCTGTAGCTGTTGACTCGTACTGAACCGTTGAGACAGCTCACAGTCGGAAACTGACTGGAATGCAGTCGAGCATGGAGGGCGCAGCCTTGGCGGTGAACGCAATGCCGACACCAGTTAGACCGCAGGCGTCAGATGCCGCTTCGCGTAAACCACGAAGAGTGCAGCGACGAAGTGAAAAGGGCAATTTGGTTTCGACAATCTAATAGCTACTTTTTGGTTTACCTGACTGTAGTTAATCGTTGAATAAGAGACAGAAACAGGCGGCATCTCGTAAGATTTGAGAGTGAGAGGATGTACTAGACGGAAAAGAGAGAATTTCCCAAATGCCTGCCTATGACCTTAGAGCATGACATTTCTTTGCGGAAGTGGACATCGACGGAGGTTTTTCTTTGTGAATCCTGACCGGAACCTTTGACTCAAAAGTCTGACCCACAAGGCAGTGGGGTGTACAATCCACGCGGTAGCTCGACCGAAAATCCGTGTTGGAATTCCTAGAGACGTAACGCAAGGCATTTGGGTTTCGGTTCAGTGTGTTCTCTTGTACCCTGATTGATGGTCTGCTGTTCGGTATCAACCCTTAACCTGATGTGCCTAATGAGACAGACAGAACGTGAACGGGATAGTACCTCATTAGCTAGGGCTGCCAAGTTTGGGGGGGAAGGTAGCCGCTGTCCAATGAAGTGCAAGGAGCTCTCCCATCGACGGGAGGAATCCCCGGGTAATACGCTATTCCGTCCCTCTACTGGGAAGAGGTTGACCTTTACACTGCTCTTCGCCGTCTTTATTTGCCGGATTAACCTATCCCTAAACAAGGGTGGATAGTCAAGGGAAGCCAGGAGGTACCCAAGCAGCTGTCTTTGTGAGACTGAGCTTCTTCTGGCCTCTACCCATTGACCTTTCAGGCATGACTGCGAAAAGTCATCACAACCCGTCAAGGCGCAGTTTCATCTTTATAACTTTATAATTCCAGGGAAATTTTGTTGAGTCATTATATATACTACATTTTTAATATATATATATATATATATTATATTATTATTATATTATGATTATTATATATATATATATTATATACATATTATATATATATATATTATGTGGCATAGCTCACCGAATGGTACAAACTAGAAATACGATTCTTCTCTTCGATAGTCCTCCATGTTAAACAGTTCCCCCAATTCATGTCATCATTGCGATTGAATACTTCAATCACTTGCACTTTAACTACTAGTACTGATCAGTGGGATCAAGTTTTCACGTATCTCAATCCCTTTCTTCTAATGGGTGTTGCCATGACAGCGGTTGTTTACTTCTGCGGGTATAATCTTGTTCAAGGCAGAGTGGATGAGAATTCGAGGCCGATGGATGTTCTCATTTTGTTTTTAATTAAATTTTCTCTGCCCTAATATGTATCGCGAATCGTAACCCTGTATCAAATAAGAACAAAGCTTAGTACAGTTGTTGACACTTTCCGCTATTGAGGTTCAATGCATTAGTTTTGTAATTTTAAGGTTCGTTCTTATTGTTCTTCTCAATCTTGTTGTTTCAACCTATGCTTACTGCCCCATTCTATATATTTCATTGCATTCAATCACATTGAAATATATAGAATGGGGCAGTAAGCAATTTCATATGACTTCCCCGTAAACTACTGTTCCTTCTAACCGTGCAAGTTCTCATTACACAAACTCGCACTGATGAAACAGTCTTTATGTTTCCCGTGTATCGGCACAAAAAATTGATGCATCTCTTCCTTAATCAGTGGATGAGTATTTATTGTCTTTCCTTTGTTGAATTACGTTTCCTAATTGTCTGAGTTCAGACTGTGTCAAATACATCAACCTACAACGACGAGATTAAACACAAAACCGTCAGAACGATACCGCATATTACCAAACCATATGAAGTCAAGTCAAGAAGTGGCTTTAATTCGCCCTATAGGGTATGAACATTCAGCCACTACACAATCACTCTTCTGTGGAAATTGCATGGTAAAAAAAGACAATGATATGCTACATATACAAACAAATTAGGGAAATGTAGCAAAGATTTTGTTTAAGAGACCCATTGACAAGATCGGTGTCAGTAAGAAACCGTGCCAAGTGCGGTATTACAGAAGACTTGTATGTTGTGGTGCGCGCTACTATATGCTTATGCTTGGCGCGAGTGCTAGATGTGGAGATACATTGACTAGGGTGAGGGTACAGTTGATAAGATGGGCCAAGTAGTATTCTGGTAGGAAGTTTCTGGCAAGCCTTAAGGTGCTGTGAAATAATAAACTACGCAACATGCTCACGAGATATGCCGCTGTATCGACATACGTGTTTGATGGATGTACGTAGGAGTTTAAAGTCT